CAGCAGGAGACAGAGGCTGCTCTGTGTGAGGAAGGAATGAACTAAGTGGGACATGCAACAGAGAGCAGTCACTGTGAACCTTGAAGCTTTCTGCTGCTTCCAAAATACAGGGACGGCGTGGCTGATGGACCTAGTCCTGTGAACGTGTGGCCTCTTTCTCTGATAAACCAGCTGGGTTAGACTTCTGCATCCTGAGCACTAGAAATGTGACTGGTGTGGCCAAAAAATGCAATTTAAAAGCTTAATTTTAATTAATTTAAATCTAAATTTTATAAATTGGCACTTGATTCAGTCAGTTATTAGCAACATTTTGAGTAAGTTTGAAACGACTTGGCTACTTTCAACTAAATTTTATAAAATCTAAATACAGATCAAAAAATTGCCTGAATTGAGATATGGTTTAAGGGTAAAACACATACAAGATTTTGTTGGTACAACAACAAAAGGATGTAAAATATCTTACTGAGAGTCTTTCACTTCGATTACATATTGAAATGATAATATTTTGAATATATTCAGTTAAATATTTTAAAATAAATTTCACTTGTATTTTTACTTTTAATATGGGTACTGGCATATTTAAAATTAACATAAATTATAGTGGAGGGGGGAGGGCTGATATTTTTTAAGATTTTACCTCACGTTATTTTGGAACAAAGTGTGTCTGACAATAAATAAAATTAACATGTGGCTCTCATTTTTATTGGAGAGCACTGGTTAACTTATTGTATAAAATATTCCCTAAGAAATATAGAAAATAATCTTAACTTTTTATTTCTCATGGACCAGTTATGTGTCAGATATTAGAATAAGTGCTTTGTAAATGTTATCACAGTTAATCTTTATCATAATCCAGCAACATAGGAGTTGTTATCACCATAGATGAGAAAATTGAAGCTCAGAGTGGCTAAGTGACTTGGCCAAGATCACACAGCTGATAAATAGCAAAGAAAGATTTGAAATCACATCTACTTTTTATTATAATAATCTGCTCCTTCTCCAAAAAGAATTAGGCTGACTAGTCTAATATTTGTCAAGACTGTCTTCAGATGAACGGTGCAAAGCAAACTATCACTGAACGCCTTTATGAAAAATAAGCCACAGATTAATCAATAAATATAAAAAATGATGTTGTAATATTAACATGAAGAATTACCTGCCTGGACTCTGCCTATTTCACTGCTGATCAAAGGTGAAAATCGAGGTATCATCAATACTCAAAAGGGATTGAGTGCAGCAGAATTCTAGCTCTGTGTAAACCCAGAGTCCAACTGCTCACTCAAGATAGGATGTTCTGACTTTCTCTATGGAAATCAAGAGACTACCTAGTTCACTTGAGCTACATGTTGTTCTCTTACAGAATATGTCAACTATAATAAGTCCTTACTTAACATCATTAATAGGTTCTGTGACTTTAAGTGAGATGATGTATAACAAAATGTTTTACCATAGGCTATTTGATAGAAGCAAGAGTTATTGGAAGACCTGCTCAATCTGGCTTTAGCAGTGAGCAAGTCAGCCATTCAAGGAAAATATTTCTAGGTGTCAAACCTATGTGCATACCATAGCATAATGGAACCAAGCCTGAGGTACTGAAGATAAGAGGATGATTGGCTATATAATAAAGATAAGGAAATAGTTTCCAACCATCAAAGGAATGAATCAGGGGGATTAAATATAATTCATTGGTATTACTTACAAGGTAATCCTTGACTGCAGCACTGCCAGTTAAAAAGAGAGAAGAAAACCCCTCAAATGGCCATTTTTATTTCCTTGTATCTTAGCTATCTTTTCTAAAGAGAATTTTATTTGGTTTATAAACCTTTCTTAGCCAAGATGGCATCAAATTTTTCACCGTTAAAGGCAGATATAATGCAAATAGCAGTCACATGTTTGAGTGAGAGTCAAACCAAGTGTGATGATAAAAGGGTTACTTATACTGAGAAGCTCCTTGGACTGTGTTACTTGATGCAGTCCTTCCCTGTCTTACCTTAACCCATCCCTACATTCTGTACAGTTGTGGGATTCAGTACATGTCTTGCAGTTTTCATTGCATTTCCGGCAAAGATTTTTCTCTGTTAAAAAAAAAACAAAAAACAAGGTTATAAATCAGTTGGCCAATTGGATTCCATAAAAGCATGTGGAGATATTTCAGTCCTTGCTAATATATACTATAGTCCTTGTCAGAACTTCCTAGAGGTCCATCTCCTTTCTCAAGTCCGAGGCCCGTGGCGTAAACTATGTAGTCCTTTACAATCTTCTGGTAGTTACCACCTGGTCTCCCCCTCACTGTGCCACCGAGAATACTGGACATGGCATAAGAACCAAAGACAGAGAACCGAGATTTGCGTTCTGTTTTTAGCATTTCCTGTGGGCAAGTTCAGGGTCTTTGTTCTTGCATTTATTACATTCATATTACAATGATGCCTACCTCTTGGCTTGTCTTGAGGACTTAATGAATTTATTCAAGGGAACCATATAAACTTTGAAGCACTGTAAATATGCTAAAAGTAATTATTACTAGTCATGATCATATATGATCATTAGGTTGTATATAAATGGATACATTGAAAGAGGAAACTATAGCAAAGGCAGTTACACTGAAGGAGAAAGATGCTCAGACCACTCTTATCAGCAAAGTAATTTTTTTTTTTTAATTTTGTTTTGTTTTGTTTTGTTTTACACCTACAGCACCTGGTCTTCCTAGGTGGTCTCCCATCCAAGTACTAACCAGGCTTGACCCTGTTTAGTTTCTGAGATCAGACGAGATCAGGCATGTTCAGGGTGGCATGGCCATAGACAGCAAAGTATTTGTTTGCACAGCCTTTCTCGATTATCCTCCTTCCAGGTTATATATCACTCAGAACCAAATTTCTTTTCCAAGGCTCAGCCTTCTTGATAGAATTTTGACTTTTTTTCTTTTTTCAAGGAATACTGCTTATTTCTGTAGATCCCTTATTCACCTTCCCCACTCCCATTTTCTCCTTTCTCCATGAAATTGTAACTCATGTTGCAAATTTTGAGGAAAATAAGAACTACAGGGGAATCCCTACCCATTGCTCCAGGGTAAGTTGAGAGATCCCATCTGCCATGTACAGAAACACCTGCCTTTGAATCAAGAGAGAATTTGACTTTAAAAAGCAAGCACATTTACTTCAGAATTCTTTCCGGATTATTAAAAAAAATGAAAAAGAAAAAGAAAACTGTTCCTTTACACTTGGGTTTTCTTTCTTAGGTTGTATAGACACATAAAATTCTAGTGTCACCATATACTGTGGTGTGACAGCCTTGTTGAGACAAATTATCAAGAACTCAGAAAGGAAGAAGCAAAACGTAACAGCAGCCCTTTTCAGGGCTATACCCGAGTACTAACAGGCATGCTCAAGGATTATCTAACTCTTGAGAGAACATACCTTCATCTGTTTACTAATGACAGTTCATCAGGATCCAAACTCTGTGAAGTACATGTTCACTTACAGAACTTTGTTGCAAATGATATCTGTTCATTTGAAAAAATAACCTCCAAATTCTAGTTGTATTGCCAGGTAGGAAATTATTCAATTTTGTCTCTAAATCAGCAAATGGATTTCATTTTGCCTTTCCTAATGGACTATAATACCGATAGTCTCTGAACCTATTCATTACCTAGTAGATTCCCTCATTAAGAGTTAAAGAAGTCTTTGACACGTGTTCATTCTACATTTATAGGAAAGTCATGTTTTTTAAACTTTTTGAAAAGCATACTTTGAAATCATGCAGGCCTGGTTCCTTCGGTTAGTGTGCAGGCCTGAAAGCCTGCTTATAAGGTTGGTATATAAGATTGCTATATTAAGGCTGAGAACTTAGATTTCAGGAGGGTTTCCACAATCCCAACTGAGAAGAGTGGCTCATGATGCCTCAGCTGTGTGTACAAACAATATGGTTTATGCTGAACACCAGCTTTCCTTCAGAAGTCTGGAATTTTGTTAAGTGATAGGCAGAAGATGCCTTGATGACCAGTCCCTAGTAACAGCCGTGGGCACACAGACCTGAAAGGGGTTCCCTGATGGACTACATTTCAACATGTGCACAAATTGTTGTTGGGGGAACTAAATGTATTCTGTGTGACTCTACTGGGAGAAAACTCTTGGACATTTGGGCCTGGTTTCCAATGGACTTTGTCCAATGAGCCTTTACCTGTGGCTGATTTTATTTTATATCCTTTTGCTGTAATCATAATTATGAATCGATGAGCACAACTATATGTTGAATCTTGTGGGTACTCTTAGCAAATCACTAAATCTGGGTATGGACTTGAGTACCCACCTGACACAGTTACAGTCATTTTTACTAAATTCTTTTTTATAAAACAATTCTAAATTGTTCTCTTAAAAAAAAAATTGGCTAGATCCATACAGGAGAAATATTCCTCCCAAGGTCACTCAAATGAAAACCTTACATTTGTTCTCTAAAATCCAAATATTTGAAATCAACTCACTGGTGTCCTGATATGATCCATCAGGGCAGTGAGTAACACAGCTGTTGGTTTCTTCATTCAGGAAGTATCCATGTTTACAGGACAGGCACTGGTCACCGTGGCTGCCAAAGCAGGACTCGCAGTTGGGAGCACATTTCCTGCATCGCTTCTTGTCGGCATGATAGTGGCCAGGGGGGCAGCTGGAGACACAGATCCTGTGTTGTGGAACAATAAGAAAGAAGGGCAGCATCACCAATAACTCAGTCCTCAGCATTCTCTTGGAAGTGCTGAGCAAATCGCTGTCCCGGTCTCAAATCCTTTTTAAACCACGATGGTAAGTAATACCACATCCAGAGGGCCAAATGCTATTAGTTACAGCTTCTTCCTGTGTAGGGTGCTGAAGCAGCAATGCAGTTACACAGTAACAAATCCTTATCAAGTGAGGCGTGTCTTGGTCCAAACCACCTTCCAGTTTGGGTTTAGCTTTTTAAAGGGGATGATGGTTAGAAACTGAGGCTCAAGAGGAAGGTTATGGCATGAATTGAAAAGAAATTATGTGGGAACCATGATTTTAAGCAAAAAGGTCACTAGTAAGAGGTTACTTCTATTTGTTGGTTTGTCATATGGATTGTGTGTGTGTGTGTGTGTGTGTGGTGGGGTGGGGGTGATGGTAGTGCTTATATGCTGTCTAAATATAAATATATTTAAAATTATGTTACTTATGATAAACTTAAAAAAATTACTTCCTTGTTTAATTGAAGGACAAGGCTTTATTTATTCTTTCAACAAATATTTACTGAGTACCAATTAAATGGCAGGCATTTGCTAGTAAGTCTAGGAGATAATAGAAGTGCAGAGATAGCCAAGGGCCTTTCCTTTAAGGAATTTAAATTCCAGCATGGACGTAAACAGGAATTGAAAAATGTCTATTTGGGTGGAGTGTGGAGTCACCACAAGTCAGCATCCCATCATGAGTTTTTGCTTGAAGTAGGAGGGAGAAGGTGGCAGGGCTGTGAGAGTCATGGCTAGAGAGCATGGCCTCTGATGGACAGTCACTCTTCCATGGCCCTGCCCTTTAGACACGTATCTGCACGATTTGAAGCAAAAGTCAAGGCCTTGGGCATAGGGTCCAAACAGGTCCTGGGTGCCCAAAGTGGAATAGTGAAGATGAGCAGCAAACGGCACCTTTGCCACATCAAGGACTTGCACATTGGGGCGTGTGGGAGAGTGTCCGTTTGGCCCATGCACTGGCATTCTCATGAAGAGAAAATGCAGCTGTGGCATCAAACAATAGGATGGAAAAGAATGGAGGGGAAGACCAGGCATACACACAGCTAGTCCCTCCCCACCAGCTTTCCAAATGTGAGAAAAGACATTGGCAGCTTCACAGCATGTGTGTATTATGTGTTTTTGAGTCAGCTCTGATTCCCTGGCGACCTTATAAATGAGTGACATCCACAATGTCCTGTCCTCAACAGCCTTGCTAAGGTTTTGTAGACTCATGCCTATGACTTCTTCTATGGAGCCAATCCATCTCATATCTGGTCTTTCTCTTTTCCCACTGCCTTCTATTTTTCCAGCATTATTGTCTTTTCCAAAGAACCCTGTCTTCTCACTATGTGCCCAAAGTAGGACAGTGTCAGCTTTGTCATTTTTGCTTCTAATGATGTCTCAGGCTTAATTTTCTCTAGGACTCACTTGTTCATCTTTCTGGTGGTCCAGGGCATCCACAGAGCATGCTTTCAATCCCATATTTCAAATGAATCAAAATTTTTTTCTTTATGGGTACATTTTGTATTTCGTAATGCGATATCGATTTTACCATTTTGAATTACACAAGGAGGCAGTGGGCTTGTGCAGCAGCATCTTTCCTGTGCTTAGGTGCTGGTGGGGGAACATCAGGATTCCTGGTGACTCTGTGGGAACCCCCAGGTACACCTGGGACATGCTGGGGGGATTTGACTTGGCCTCTCTCTTACCTGGTGTTGTTTTTCAGCTTGTAGTAGTAGTGCAAACAGTCATTGCAATGGTCTGGTCCTGGCCCATCACAGCCAACCTCGCTGCACTCAGGGTCGCAGGGACCTTGCCAAAAGAAATTAGAACACCACTTAGAAAAAAATGATTTTAAGTTGGTTGGATTTACCTGGAACTGGGTATACAATATGATTTTTTTTTCTTATGCAGTGAGAGTTTAAGATAGAGGAAAAATGTTCAATGTGGCTGTAAGCCCAGAGATGAACTCTAGACATTTTTGGGGAAAACCTCATTACCTAAGTATTAAGAATGTAAATCCTAGTCATGGCCTGTTCTTCTAAGCACATATGGCTGCCTTGTGGGAGATAACAAATATTTCAGGATTCGAATGAACAATGCCACTGTAGCAAATGGAAAAAAAAAAAAATAAAAGACTGCAATCAAGTATGCATAATGATAAAAATGTTGGATTTATAGAAAAATGAGAAGTTAAGGCTGTTGACAGAAAAAAAAAAAAGTTATCATTCAATGCTTGGACCAGATTGCCTGTCTCATCTAAGGTCATTAAAGCCACTGAATACCTCTGAGATACTGTAGCTAGCAAGAAACACCATTATGGCATCAGGCACAAACTTATCAGCATCTAGCTTTGGATTACAAAGCAGGTACTTCAGGCACAGATAACAGATTTAAAATTGCATCCTACCCATAGACCAATGGGCAACTCACCAAAAGAAAGATACACATAAATTTTAAAAATGTGAGCAAGCTTAAAGAATTCCAGACCTGGCATGAAGGTTCCTAATCTCTCGTTACATATTCTTTGGTATAGAACTAGAGAGAATGCATAGTCAGAAAAAAATGCCAGAGAGATGGAGCTGTTTTGAGATTGACAAAAAGCTTTCTAATGACACGAGATAGTTACAGACATATTGCTTTATTGAACTAACTGTCTTTTCCTTGTTCTCCATATTTTGGGACATTTAGCCTCATAATCTTCAAGTTCCTTCCCACTGAAAATTCATATGATTTTAACTAGCAATAAATATATTGCATGAAATATATAAACAGTAAGTTGATGGTGCCAGAAATGTTTTAAGCCATACTTACTTTAATCAAAAAGACTTACTGTTGAACATCAGTCTCCTGTTGTCATTATGGGATTATGTTCTGCAATTACTGAATCACAAGAACATAAAATGGTAGAACTGGGGAAGAATGACTCAGAGAAAACTCTAGAAGAAAACACCCTCATCTTACTGATGAGAAAACAGATTTTTCAAGAGTTACAATGGCCTGCCCAGCATCATACAGCTAGAAGAGTTGGGATCAACATACATCCTGATTTCTAGTCCAGGTCTCCTACTTAGAGTAAATCATGTATTAGAGATGATCTGGTTGGAAATGAGTCATTCTGAAACAGTGCAAACTTAAAATATATTTCTGATAAATTGCAAGAATGATTTGATGGCACTGTTTCTCTCTCTTTTCACCAAAGCCTTAAAACTGATCTCTAAAGTAAATTCCATAGCTAGTACAATTTGGGACATTTTAGCTGTCTTCTGCTATGGTACTCAAGAACAGGGTATCTCTGCTGTGTAAGAGTTGACATCCAGCCAGCTCTGGATCCCATAGTCCTTGGAATTTGATGAAATAGTACAGGGATCTGGGTATGGTAATGTCATCTGTGCTTCTAGACAGACTGAATTCTTAATAAAGGTGAAAATCACAGCTTTGAAGAAGAGGTGTCATGGGTGGCGCTAAATTTTCACTAGATGATTTCTACAATTAAAAATCCCTCCCAAAACATTTATTCTTGATATATGCCAAAGGGCTCTGTGTGGCAAGTTCATATACTGCGCTATTTTATCATCTGTCTCAGATGGAATTTAGCACTTTAGGTTACAGTGTAATAATGAAATAATCATTTTTGTTCTCTCACAAGTGTCAATGTGGACATTTTGAAGATGTAATGAGAAAAGCCACAAAGATGTAAAACTGTTCAGATTTTTAACATTTTCAAAATTTTAATTGAAACGTACCATAAGGCACATAGTAATAGGTTATTATTATGCTTCATTTATATTTTTGGATATGCTTCTTCCTATCAGAGAAGACAACATGGTTTGCTAATTATTACATAAATAGTAATATATTACAAGCTTGAAGCAAAATAAGACAAAAATCTAATACAATCTAGCTCTGGTTAGATCTATTGGTCTGAATTACCCAAGCTCGTTATTGATTCTGGAATACTACCAGTTTAGAATAAAAGAAACTGCATAGATATTTAAGATATTCTGTTAAGATGATCAATGAGATACTTGTATCTTTAGTATCTAGAAAAAGAATCTCAGAGAGCTAAAGGAAAAAAAATTCTCCTCTAAAGGTACATTAAATTGCTATTTACAAACGATTCTGCATTAGAAGGAACTTTATTCACTAAAATGTTATACATCATATAACAGAAGGATTGAATCTTCCTAAAAATGGTAGCTAATGCAACAAGGCAAGAATCAGAAAAATACTGGGGAAGAGAAGAAAAATTTGCAGATGATATGGCTATAGTACCTAAACTGCCCCAGAAAATCAACTCTAGAACATATAAAATTAGTAAGAGAGTTAAGCATAATGGTCAGATAAAAGATAAATATGCAGCAGCTAACAGATTTCCTAGATACCAGCACATACTAGGTAAAAATATGGAATATTTCCCACTACAATAGCAACATGACCCAAAACAGGAATAACACTAATAACACTACATAAAAGATTTCAGTAAAATGGAACATGGTCTATTGTTTTAGATAGAAAGACTGTACATTGTAAAATCAATTCTTCTATTAGATTGCATGTAAATTCAAATTAAATTCAAGTGGGATTTTTAAAAGGGGAATTTAAGAATTGCTATAAAAATAAGCAGCAGATATTCAGCATTTGTCAAAATACATGACATTAAAAAAACTGTGGGTGTTATTGGTCTATGAATTATTAGACTGATAAATCAGAAAAGGTACTACCATAAGAGATCCTGGTATAAGAACTGAACTATATTGTTATAAAGGAAATATCCTAAACTATTAAAAGAAGGGATGGTAACTAACTCAGACAATGATGTTAATCTGTTTAGAAAATAAAGACAGGACTTCATTTCACAGTATATGTCATAAGCCAAAATAAATTTTAGATGAATAAGTGACTAAATGTAAAAATCAGATTAAAAAAAGCATGTGAATATTTAGCTGATTTTAAAGGCTAAAACATCTATTAAAAAATCGTGTTATTATCTATTACCCTTCAATTTTCTTTTTCTGTCAAAACAACACAACACAGAACAAAAACTACATTTCAGAAGCAAGTGATAACTGAGAAGATGTTTTTGGCAAATATGAGACAATATGAAAGACAATAACATATGAAGAATTCTTATAAATAAGAAAATTGCTGCCACTTTGAAGAGAATGGGTAGAAGACAGTTGTATTTAATTCACAGAACTGCAGTAAGTCTTCACTTAACGCCGTTGATAGATTCTTGGAACTGTGGCAAAAGGACATATAAGGAAGCCAATTTTACCACAGGCTAGTTGATATAAACAAGAGTTAAGTTCCTACAGCATCTCATCAATGTTATAACGAAACAACACTGAATGAAACGACATTATTTGAGGACCTGCTGTACAGAGAATAAATGTTTAGATTTACTAGCAATCAAAACTATGAAAATTTGAAAGTGTTGGCAGGAATGAGTGCAATAAACATATACACAGTTGGTCACAGTGTAGACTGGTACATCTTAGTCTTGAAAGCAATATGATAAAACTTATCCAAGCCTTCAGACTGATTATTCCCTTTGATGTAGTAATTCTCAGAACAGAACTCTATTCTAAAGAAATTATTAAAGGTATAGACAAAGACTGATAAATAATGATATTCATCTAAACCTTATTAAACAAATGTAAAACTCTAAGCAAAATACACATCCCAGACTATGGATTAAATATATCACAGTACAATCACAGGATGGACATTTATGCTATTTTTAAAATGTGTGCTAAGGATACTTGACAGCAGGAAAATGTATTCTTAATAATATCTTTAATGGAAAAAAAGATATGAAATACTATATTCAGTGTGGTATTAGCTTGGAAGAAAAAAAACATGGATATTTGAATATAGAAATATACATACAAAGATTTGGGGGGAATAGAAAAGAAGATGAAGAAAATGTATCAGAATATGGGTAGAAGTTTATCTCTGCATGGCGGGATGATGCATGAGCTTTCTTTCCTTAGCCTGTGTCCCAGTTGGAAGCCAGCTCACCTGCATAATCCTCTGTTCCATAGTCATCGGTGGGGTCTTCAACTCGGCTGTAACGGACACGTTCCACTTTAGGAAACTCGTTGGTTGGTGAGTATGGCTGCACAGAAGTGCCATAGAGTACCAAAGACCATTCTTTCAATTTACCTTGGGAAATAATGAAACCACATTGTTATCGAACATTTACTCTTTGGCTTTATAATTTAATTCCTTCTTACCTAAGAAAAAGCATCAGTAGAAGAATTGTGGTAAGCAGAGTCATATGAATCATTGCATCAGATACAAGGCTAGAAATGCACATTTCCCACTGTTTGCAGAATTATTAACTATTTAATAATACACACCACATATTTACTGAGTGCCAACTATAGAATAGGCCTTAATCAGCATTTATAGGAAGACTGAAAAATGAACACACCTCAGATTGTTGGGCTGAATTTCAAATTATGGATATTTAAGAGAATCCCCGGATTTTACAGAGAGCTTTGGTTTTCTAGGTAGAGAAGTCTTATTTGAATTTTACAAAAACTTCTGATGTTATCTGCTTTGTTTATCAGTAAAAAAGATAAAAACAACTACTTTGTTCCACCTGATTCCTGAATTGGTCATTCAAGCCTCGGAATGTATCACTATTTATATTATCCAACAACATCTGTGTTGTCCAATGATAGCCACTAGACACATGTGGCTACTTAAATTTAAATTAACTAAAATGTAAAAATTCAGTTCCCTAGTCACACTAACTACATTTCAAGTGTTCAGTAGCCATATGTGGCTAATGGCCACCATGATGGACAGCACAGATATAGAACACTTCAGCACTGCAGTGTTCTACTGAACAGCACTACAATAGAGTATTTTCTGGTCAGGGGTGCCTTGAGACATGAGACAAGTGTTTAACCTCATTTGGATGGTATGTTCACAAGGAACATTTTGCTTTAGTTCATATTTATTCCTTTATTTCTTAGATTTCTAAAGCTAAACTTTTTAAGGCAAAAAGTAAAAAACAAACAAACAAAAAAAACCACACCAAAACTGAAAAAACTGCCCCCAGGCCATTAAGGTTAATAAAAGTCGCATAAAAATAATCGAACACAAGCAGACATGATGAAGACAAAACCATTAAAAACTTGGAAATAGGCTGTTAGAAGGGACTCCCCTTATGACTTCCAGTCTAATACGGAGAATCCAGGCATGGTTCAGGACTAGGGCTCTGCCACAGTAATGGTGAACCTTAGGTGTTACCTAATTCATCTGTTAACATCTATAATCACCAACAAATTGACACTTATCATTTCTAAATGCTAATTATATGCTAAGTAAATTTTATCCCATTAAATGTTCACAACAACCAAGAGGTAGGTATTTGTGTTCCCTATATAGTTGATATAAACAATAATGAGGAAATTGAGGCACAGAGGTTGATCACTTTCCCAAGGGTCTCAACAGGACTGAGTCTTTTCCCAAAGGCCTTGTTAACCTAAAAATATCACTTAATCCAAAAGTGAAAGCAGCAGAGAGATGAGCAACAATTCTGTTGCTAACATCAGTTCTTGCTAATCAACAGGGAAATGCAAATCAAAACCACGTTATATCCCCTCATACCTGTTAGAATACCTATTATCAAAAAGAGAAGATATAACCAAGTGTTAGCAAAGATATGGGGAAAATGAAACCCTGTGTACTCTTGGTGGAAGTGTAAATTAGTGCAGCCACTATGGAAAACAGTATGGAGGGTCCTCAAACAATTGCAAATAGAACTACCATATGATTTAGCAATTCCACTACTCGGTACTTATCTGAAGAAAACAAAAACATGAAGTTGAAAAGATACAGATATCCTCATGTTCACTGCAGCTTTATTTATAATAGCCAAGACATGAAAGCAACCTAAGTTTCCATCAATGTATGAATGGATAAAGAAAATGTGACATACACATATACACACGTGTGTGTGCATATATATGCATATACATATACAAATACACACCAGAATAGAATATTATTCAGTCAGAAAAAAGAAGGAAATATTGCCATTTACAACAGCATGGATGGACTTTCAGGGCATTATGCTGAATGAAATAAATCAGAGAATGACAAATACCATATGATCTCACTTATATGTGGAATCTTAAAAAACAAAACAAAATAAATACAAAAGCAACACACATACACAAGAACCAAGCTTCAAGATACTAAGTTAATAATACTGTACTGCATATTTGAAAATTGCTAAAGGAGTAAATCTTAAAAGTTCTTATCACACGGAAAAGATTATGTAACTATGGGGTGATGGATATTAACTAGACTTAATTGTGGTGATCATTTCACGATAGATACAAATCTCAGATCATTCTGTTGTTCACCTGAAACTAACATTATATGTCAATTATATCTCAATTAAAAAAAACTATTGTGGATCCAAATCCTGTGTTCTTAAACCATTATATTATATTACCTTCCTGTTCATTTCCAGTTTGGGAACCTTAAATTTAAAATTGAACATATTTTGTGCCACATTGTTTTCTGACATTTTCATTGGGCCAGCACATTGGTTTACATGTGGTTTGCCCTCTGACAGCTTTTCTTTGAACTCACTTGTTAGGGACTATTCTTTTCATAATCAGGGTGCTGTTTGGTCTCGTAATTCCAAGTGGTGTGCATTAAGCCATAGCAAGAAATGATGACCTATATGACTGCCTTTATGCTGCAATGCAAAAGAGAACCCCTTTCCTAACAGCATCTCTGAAATGTACAAATGGAGCATGTAACACAAGGACATCACAGTCCATCGGTCTCCCTAAAACTTAGATCATTTAACTTACAATTATTTTGGGTTTAAAAATTTACCCTAAGTGCTTTGAAGAGTGCTGCCTCATAATCGATTATTTTCCTTTGTGCCATTTCTTACGTATATCATAAACGTGCTAAGGATATCCTTGCTTGGGCAATCCATCTTTATATTTTTCACTTATAATTTTATATCCTTTGAATCTCTGCCACAATTCACATCAAATACTGCCATATTTGGGCCATTATTTTTTTTCTTCCCTACCACTTTTTCCAATTGCTAAATTCTATAGATTTTGCAGTTGATACTGCAACATTCTGCTAAGAAATCGCTGTGTAAATATAGAATGAGAAAAATCCATTCTACTTGCTAACATATAAATGCACTCTGCCCAAGATAGAAAACCCAAGATAAGCAACAAAACAAAGAAAACTGCTTCTGATGGTTTTAATATGTATTTAAACACACACACACACACACACACACACACACACACACACAGAGGGGAGGGGAAGGGAGGGGAGGGGAGGGGTACACACACACACACACAGAGGGGAGGGGAGGGGAGGGGAAAGGAGGAGAGGGGAGGGGGGAGGGAAGGGAGTAGCAGAAGTCTTCTTCTAAAGTGTGAGTAATCCTGAACAAAAAGGTTGGTTGAAGGAAGGATATCCAAAGAGCATGTGTTTCTATTAAAGGCTCCTGACTCCAGGCCAGTAATAGCATTGGAGTATCTCTCTTCTGGCATAAAAGAACATCTCTGAAATGACTGAAGGTGACTGGGGTTAACAGTGAACATTTAAATAGTGTGAAGGAGAAGGTGATGCTATAAATAGACTATCTAGATTATATGGGCTACTGCAGAGAGCTTTCAACACAGGGAATCATAGTAAACCGGATAGACTCTGAACTCCTTGAGGGCAGAGATATTTATATTCATAGCCCCTTACCCTTGCACACAAATGGCAGATCAACCAGTAGTGTGCCCTTCGGGCAGTTTGCTCTTATGGGGGTAGAGAGTTTTCTCACTGACATTCTTTAGAATTGCTGGTGCATGGCGACAATAAAGGGCAGAATCACTTTTAGTTTTATAACTATCTTAAATTCTCAACAGAGAATGTACTCTCGATTCTATGCTTTAGGCTGCACACCCCCTGCTGTACACAACTGCCACATTTTGAAACTGTTTATTTCTCTGGGATCTCTGGACACGTAAGAGTTCTGTAGTGACACCTGCTGATGGATCAACTGAGAGCTGTCCTTTGGTCAGGGCAGCACAGTCCGGTCACATGCTGCCATTGCCCCTGAGTGCCATGACCACATGCATCTCCATGGGCGTGGCCTTAAATGAGGAGGGAAGAGAGAGGGAGGTCCTGGGAACTCAGTATATGATGAACAAGTGAAAGTGGTTGGAAACCAGGATCTAGTTTACTTGAATGTTTTCTATCGACCCTGCCTTGTTGATGAACATTTGATTTCTGGATAAAACTTTGGTATCCATTATATTCAGGCTGCATGCTGGAGGTGAGCTGGACCCAGATACTCTAACAAAACTTTTATCTTATTCATTGTGACCTTGCCACCGTGCTGGTTTTAACCTCTTTGATTATGAGACCGCTGTGGCAACACAGAGGAACCACATCACAGAATCAGGGCAAAGAGATGGTCAAATTGTATGACCAAAAATGGATCTTTCAGAATGAGTAACTATCTGACTGGCAGACTAAAGTTTGGTAAATGTACATCAGCATTCTCCACTGTGTTCTACCGTGTGCTTCCTCTTCTCTATGCAGTCACTGTACCTGAATGGTATGCACCTTTCAATTAATTACAGAATGTCTGGATTAATTTATTCTGAGATCGGGAGAGGGCTAGAAATGGATGTCAGTCCTAAAATCACCCTCAGGCCTGATTCTTCTGCAGATGGACTGGACAGAGCATTGAGAAGCACGAATATTTCAGACAATCAAAGTTATGTCCACAGCTGAGCAAGGAAGCTGGGTTAGTTATCAAGCAGATCATTTGCTACTGAGCCACGTACTCCATAGGGCTCCATCACAGGCAACATAGGCTGCTGCAAAAACTGTTCAATCTCCCGCCCCACGGCATATTGTAAATACCTTTGTTTTTAGGTTACAAATAAACTTCCATGAAAAGGGAAGTAAGACATATACACCAACAAGAGTCTGAGACCACCTGAAAAGACCTTTGTTAATTTTATAATTTACATGTTTTACATATCAAGAGAGTTTCTTTTTCCTTAGCTCTTGGGCTCACTTGGGGCAGAATATCATCATTTATTTTCTTTAGTGGTAACCAATTTAGCTGACATAGGCCAGCTCAGTGTCTTGCCTGCACTAAAATTTAAATGCAGAGTAAACACAGAAAAAAGATAACTAAGGAAACCTGTCTCCTGTTATGACCTGGCAATTTAACCCGTTGCTGGTGGACAAGGGTGGCTTGTTTATGAACAAAGAAAGTAAGAGAAGCTAGGTAGAAACATGGACCCTATATCCCGAAACATCAATTAATAACTGTCATGTTTTATCCTGTACTTACATCTAAATATTTATTCTTTATTTCTTACCCTTAAATTATTACCTCTGAAATCATAGTCTTGAGAACTGGAATACATGCAGACAACTCAAAACATACGATCACAGGAAAAAGAATGATGCTGATGCGTAAGCGTGAAACACACTTTGGCCAAAATGTACTCCATCACTTTTTTCTACACAGCAATCCAAATTATAGAAAGGAAATACTCACCTGGAGTCTTGAAGTTCCTCAGCTGAGAGGGAGTGTCATAGACTTCAAGGATCCAGTCACCAGCAGCTCGTTCTCCCCAGCAATGAATGGTCATGAACTCCCAGTTTTTAAACCCCTCCATGGAATGATCAAAAAGCCTAAGAGAGAATCATAAAACACTGTTTTATCTGTTATTTAAAACCCAGTGAGGGTCAAGGCAAGACCATGATCAATGACCTTTTTGTATCCATCAATATGTTCAGCTCATCACTGGAGGTTGTATTCATCCTGGACATCATTGATTAGTAGATTCACAGGGACCACAGACTGTTCTACCTTAGGGAATCAGGCATGGGGCTGGCCATGCAAGAGAAAATCTAGAAGATATAACCATTGGTGAATCAGGGAAACTAGGTTAAGACTTTACTCTCAAGACTGACTGTACCAAGTATTGAAGATGTGGTGCAACTGGAACTCTTTACACTACTGATAGGAATGCAAAATGGTGCAGATGCTCTAGAAGACAATTTGTCAGTTCTTATGATAAAACTCAATAATCCACCTCCAATATATTTACCCAAGAGAAGTCAAGACATACGTACACTCAAAGAACTCCAGGTACATGTTCCCAGCAGCTTTATTCATAATGGTCAAAAACTGTTAACAACTCAAATGTCCTTCAATGGATGGATGGATAAATAAATTATGGTATAGTCATGCAAAGAAATACTACCCTGTAATAAAAACGAATGAACTACTAACACAACACCATGAATGAATATGAAAAGCACTAAGCTGAGTGAAGTCAGACACAAAAGACTATGTACAATTTAATTTATATGACATTCTAGAAAAGGTGCATAAAAAGAAACAGATCAGTGGTTGTCAGGAACTGGGAGGGATGTGTATGGGCCATGGTGGAAGTTTCGAGGGTGATGGAACGGTTTTTTATCTTGAAAGTGATGGTGTATGGTTACAACCATATAGATACGTTAAAATTCATTGAATTAGTCATATAAAAAAGTGAATTGTATGTAAATTAGACCTCAGTAAAAAGACTCTGCCCATTAATCTTATCTAGTTCAGAGAGTCATGCCTGGAACTCCAGCCTATTTTTCTGCTCTTCCAACCCTTCCAATGATTTTCTAACGTTTTATTTCCCTCCATGAAATCTTTCTACTTGAAATAGCTAAAATTATTTCAGTTTCCTGTGATGTAATCCTAAGGGATACAAATATGAGGGAAATCATATAAGGAAACAGAATTCTCATCAAAAATAAGATGTCAATAGATAATGTATAAAGCTATCACATTAAGAAATAGGCATATCATTTACATAAGTATATAATATAGATTTGACTACCCAAAGAAATATCTAAAAGATTTCTGTAGAGGTGGGACCTAAAAGGTGAAAAGTAAAGGATCGAGCAGGAGGCAGATGTTTTTAAAAGAACTTTTGATTTAAAAATCATAGGCATCTATTATTTTTATGGAAAAAATAATAAGAATTCAAGAGCTACAGGGCCAAACAGAAAGGGAAAAATATCTCTAGCATTGTCTCAGGAGTAACCATGTCCGGTTACTGTGACATATCTGTCCTTCAATGGAGACAAATGCAAAGGTCATGGCAACTGGATGTTGATGGCTATTCAGAGCATGCAATCAGCTCTCCCTGCTTTAATTTCACGTTTACCAAGCAAATTGGTGGTTATAATTTGACTTTCTATGTAGATCTTCCCACTGGGAGAAAATGTACCCTTCTAAAAACAAAAAAATAACCACCTAATCTCTTTATAACTTACTATATTAGAATTCTAAATGTTTAAAAAGTGTTTTATCAATGTGTTTGAGGCTCCTTCTAAAATGCCAGCTGGATTCTAAAGCTGAAAGGTTGGGTGGCACAGCTGTGGGCTGTTAGGTAAATGGCTGACACTCAGCAGTATTCCCTAGAGAAAAATGATAAACAGGAAAAGCACCTGCTACATGTTCCTGAGCCCTTAAAAGAAAAATAAAAATTATTTAGCAACATTCTCAAAGTATCCCATGATTTGGGAAAGGCCGAGTTAAAGTTGAACAGGTCTCCTTAGAGGACAATATCTCAAATCTTTAGAATAGTCAAATATGTTTTGTTACTCTTCATAATGGGTTAATGATAGGCAGTAATTTTCAAAACTTATATAGACAGGAAGCCCTTTTCCCTTTTAAAGAATACCCGTATATTATCTATAAAGGTTACCTCTGAACAGAGGGGTGTGATATTTCAGTGAGGACCTCACTGGATCTGGAAGCTTTCCCCCACGATAATAGGGATGGAAATAGTGGCACCTTATATGAATGTTTCCACACTGCAATTGAGTTTCAATAGAGTAAGGATGGTACACTTTATGGAGATTCTACAATCCATGTGCTACCACAATAGGGCTAATTTCACAAGGTTATGGCTTAAAACTGGACTTGGCCAGGAGGAAGTTGCTGGGTCATTATATAAGTGACTTACCTACACAGAGTCCTTCATGTATGTAGAAAGCATGTATGTGAGGTGAAAGGAGACACAGAGACGGGGAAAGAGGGGCTTTTTCAAATTGCCCTTCCTGACAGACACATGTTACTAAAGAGAATATGGTGACATAGAAATGGACGGAAGCGGAAAACCAGTCTAGAACTACTTCTTATCCCACAGTTCTAATTTAGGCTCTAATTCATTGAGGCCATTGTGCCATTTGAGGGCACTGAAGCAGTAACTTGTCACATTATACCTTTCTAAGAGTGTGGAACTTAAAAGCAATTCCCAGTTTAGACAGAACATTTGGCTCCTTGCCTCATGTCCAAAAACTACAAAGGAGACTTGAGGCTGCCATCACATGAGGGGCAGTCTTGTTTCCACAACCTCCGCCAACTTTTAATTACTCATGGGTCAATTATTTGACTGCTGGATTAGCAGACCCTATGTTTCGTTCCTTCCACCCTTTCCTGTCCACCTTTGAAAATCATTCCATGACTAACCCATCACTTTAAAATCACGTTGGGAACAAAAATTAAATATAAACTGGGAGCCAAGAAGAAATACTCATAAATTAGCATTCAAATAAGTTTTTCAAAGCCCAAATATAAACAGGTTTTGTCTATCTGGCTAAGCAGTTACCCCCTGGTCTCCTCACTTTAGGCAAAGCTGGAATGATCATTAATTTCACGCAGACACAAAAGTTGAGGAGGAATTAAAATGCAGCCAAACACAATCATTACATTTTGCTAAAAGAGTTGATGGGGAAGGAAACAGACACTGATTGCTGCTGTTTCAACTAGCTGGGCATTTAGTTTTCTAATCTCACCCTGTCCTTTATTTTAATTCTGATTCAGTACTTAAACTATTCCCTATTTTGAGCACAGTAACATTTAAAAGCACTGCATCATCTGCATATAATGAGAAGTATGTTGCTGGTAGACAAGTTGTGTTTTGCAAAGAACACACTTCTTTAAGACAATCATGTCAAACCACTGGACATCTGCTAAGAAGATTCTAATTGTGTGGTCTCTGTATATCAACTAAAAAGTTCAATGCCCAGTTTGAAGGTCTGTGCTGTGCCAACAGAGCAGAAACCAGACCTTTGCCGACATTATTAGTATGGATACAATGTCAATAAGTCAGGGCCAGTGTGCTCAAAGCTGGAGTAGATTAACGCCACTCCTGTGTCCATATCTCCCGTCGCAACGAAACCCTGTCTCTGAGTTGACTTCATAATCATGTGCTCGATGAAATGATATGTGCATGTGGTGGCACAAATTACGCATCCAGTTATTAAAATGGTGCCCCACAGCCCTATCCCTGTGAGCGGTGTTCAAATAAATTACTTTGGACGAAGCCTGGTAGAAAAGACTGCCATTAAGTGTACTACATCCTTTTGAGGAATTAACTCAGGAAATAACTCACATAATTACTGTAAGCTCCCCCAACCTCCCTCTCACTTAAAGGGTCTAGCCAATCTCTCAAGGCTACAACATTCTTCTATGATGTTATTGCAACTATTTATTTCAACAAGACATTTTATAAATACTAATAGCTATGTTACATAATTATTTCTAAAATTGTAAATGGATCTTTATTTCAGAATTATCCACTACTAAGCAAACAGTATTATGTTCACTACAGAATTAGACATTAGAACAATATTTTTGGAAGGTTTCTTTCTTAAAAAATTTTTATTTTAGTGCCTCATCACGATTTAAAGTAGAGCTGTAGAATGCTTAACTTATTTGGCTTCAGTTTTTGATTTCTTTAGATGTTGGCTTTTGTAACTTTTAAATAACTTGTTTCTGAAATAGGGTATTTAAAACACACTATTAAGTATTTTCTCTCTCCTAAACTAAATCCTTTCTTTGAGAAAGGTTAAGAGAAAGGTACTCGTTCTAGAGGTTTGGAATACCTAAACAGATGAGTTTTTTAAAACTTTCAACATGCATACTATTACTAACTTACTCACCAACCCCCAAATGCATTTCTTCTTTGGATATATGATGTAAGTCCTTGATTTTCTTGCAGATTCCATTTTATAGTTGATGGCTTTTATCTGTGTATCTGCTTTATATTTTAAACTCCTTTATAAATTACTTGCACAGCATCCAGCACATACTGCACAAGTCTTTTGATGACACGAAAGTAACAAGAATGTATAAAAAAGTTGGATGATCTTTTAAATCGACGCTATTTAAAGTGTGGTCTGTGGACAGGCAGCTTCAGCATCACCTGGGAGCTTATTAGTAATGCAAATTCATGGACCTCACCCCAGACCTACAGAATTAGAATCTCTGGGAGAGGGGCCCAGCCATCTGTGTTTGATTGAGTCACTCACCAGGTGCTTCGAGAAGCACAGCGTAAATAAAGGTTAGCACTTATTAAATGCTTACTATGCCAAGGGCTGTGAAGAGGACTTGCGTTATGTTATCTTATTTAATACTGGTAACAACTCTGCGAGGCAGATACTATTAGGTCTCTTTTCTAGATGAGAGAATCACTTTTCCAAAGTCAAACATAAAATCGGTGAAATCAAGACAAACCCAACCTTAACTCCAAAGCGGAACCTTCTATTGAACGAAGGAAGAGGGTTGACATGGAGAGTGGAATGTCAAACTTTCACTGCAAAAGTATAATTTGTACTTCAAGTCACAAATGAATTTATACTGCATGACACTTTACAAATGTCAATAGTTTGCCGTTAAACATTTGGGTAAGGCAGCAACAGAAATGATTCAAACATATCCGCATTTAAACACAGTTAATTATAAAATGCTATAGGGTTTGGAGTCCAGAAAGTGAACCTCCTCTCTAGTTAAGATCATAATTAGAAGCAGAGATATTCAGCTGTAATCAAATTTGGAGAGGGAGGCAAAGTTTCAGCTTTCAGTCAGAGGCCAAAATTTGGAACAGAGAGCCAACACAGCTCAACTAAATCTAAAACTCAATGAGTTGGGGGAGGGGGAGATTTAGGGGAAAAAAGATGATGACAGCTTTTCATAATTCTACAACAAATGCAGTTGAAGGAAGAATCTGATGGGACAAACTTTTGCTTGAAAAATTCTACACTTGCAGAATTTGAATATGTCATAGAATAAAGGCTAATAACCAATGTTACTTTTGTCTAAAAACATTTTAAAGAACTCAAGCCCACATAGCTTCCCCCCATGATACTGGACCTCCATATTCTCACCAGAAGTAAACCATTTGTCATGATTATTCAATTTGGCTTTTTGTTTGGCAGGGTGCACAGGCCAAGAGGAGGACCGAAAGGGTGGGAAGGCGGAGGAAAACAAAGGGAAGAGAAGCAACTAACCATTTGTTCATCCCGGGACTGCTCTGTTTACTCAGGGCTCCCACCCACTAAATGATCAACCTGGCTTGCCAGGGGTGCTTGCCTGCTGGGCTAATGGGGCACAAAGCTCAAGTTGGACTAGTTCTGAGTGCTGCTGAGTGCCTTCCGGGGCTCAGCACCTGCAGATGCTTGGTAAACTGTGCTCCCTCCAACAGCTGTTCTCCACAGGAGTTCTAGCAAGTGCCCTTCAGCTGGGACAGGGAGGCACTGAGGGGCTCCAGACGGCCTACACAGATTTCAAGAGTTCACTGACTGTGTGGAAAATCAACTCCCAAGGAATTGCTGTGGTGAGGGGAAACATAATACTGAAGAAATTCCTCACAGACATGTCTAGGAAAATAAGGACTTCTCGAAAGCTGACCATGGCCCCTTTATTTCCTTTGGGAAATTTACCCTTATAGATAATATTTTCAAGTCCCAAGACTATGACAGCTATTTCGTCAATACTGAAAAGGAGAACAGTCACAAGTAATAAGGGAGGGGTGGTTGCTGTCGTCTCAGGTCTCCCCTCCCTGGTTTATCCTCATTGTCAGTGTGTTTAATTTTTGCCTCAGAAAGGAGAGATGACATCGAGTGAGCCTAAGATTCGGGGTCTGAACTGGCTCTCAGCAGCCTTTCTTCTCACAGCAACCAACACATAGTCCACCGTCAAAAGAATCCTACCTCATGAAGAAAGAGGGGAGATCAAATGGGGACCCCCTTTTGCCACCACGGCTAGCTCTACCTCTTCATCTCAAATGACCCCCACTACGGAAACTTTATTCAGAAGTCCTATCTTTTAACTTCGTAGAGTTCTGTATGTGGTCCTCAGAAATCTTGACTTCTTCGAAGGAAAGATAATTATCCAACAGGGTAACTATTGCTCTCATTAATAATCTTTGATACACAAATTCCTTCTAAAACCTAACCTATTCACCTTCTCCTTGAGGTAAAGTGTTCTTGCCTTGCAGACCAGCATGAAGGACACCAGGAGCAAAGCAGGCCTTCCCTTAGCCCCTTCCCCACCTTTTTCTGTGCTGCTTGCCCTCAGCTCCCAATCCTGGGAATGTGCTTTGAAACAGGACATGAGGATTCCTTGCCACTAGGTCAGAGACTGAGAAGTTTTGAGTAGATATTTCCTCTCATAACATTAAAGCTTCAGGATATGCCAGAAGGAGAAAATGCCAAAAGACACGGTCCTCCCTTAGCTGCCTTGGTAGGAGGGATGCTACTAGTGTCAAGCGCAACAAGGACAGGGGAGCCAGGCCCTGGAAGGTGGCCATATGTGGTTTTGGGACCTGGTGCAGCTGTTTTACATTTAAGGAGTCAGCTGCTCAGAGCTATGTTTCGGGGAACTGTAGACAAATGAATTCATAACATCCTTTATATCTCTCGGTGCCTCCAGCCTCCTTCCACCCCTCCAATCTGTCTACCTCTTTTTGGTGGCTACTTATTTTTGGCACTGAGATGGAAGATATACAAAAGAGCAGCACTTTAAGAAATGCTCCAGACCCAGAAGATGCTCTCTGAGTGCAAACCTTATTCCCTGGGGGGTCTTGATTGGGAAAACTGAAGTAAACCTTATGACCGCCAGTCACCGAGGGTCTGAAATACCTGTTTCTTTTCTCTGACACAAGTCATGCAGCACCCTTGGGTTCAGCACTTTGCAAAGAGCAAAGCAGATGTCTGCTGTTGAAGAATGCATGTGTGACTGAAGCCAGTGACCTTGTAATCCACCAAATGCCTGTGATGGAATCCACAGCTCACAAGTTTCCTTACTGAAGTCATTTTGGGGGAAGCCAACAAAAAATACTGAAATATGCAGGAAGAGCCCAGAATGTCTGAGGAGGCAGAGTTTTCCAAGCAAACAGCAACTGCAAAAGGATTACTTTTCTACGATGGAGGGGGCCTACGAGCCACACATACAAGAAGCAAACCTTTGTACTTTGCATGTTTCACCTGGATACTCTTTCAAGTTCAACACAGTTGAATAATACTAAAGAAAAGAAAAAAGGCAGAGAAAAAGGTCTTCCCTGGCTTCAGTAACAAGCTGGTGTGGCCACCATTAATCACATAATTGTGCATCTGAAGGCCGTGCTTGCTGGAAAGAAGCATCATGCAGGTAGCGGCAATTACCTGGCAGGCAACAGCTGAGACCCCTGTCTGCAGAGGGAGGAGGGCATGCCCAGCGATCTGATGCCAAAGCATCCTTCTGTTCTTCGCACCTGCACACACTGATTCTGGCTAAGCTGAGCTTCATAAAGCACTAAGTCCAGCTTTCCCCATACCCAAATAGAAGACATTAGGTTTTAAAGATCATAGCAAGTCTTCCAAGCACAGAAATAAAATGCACTTGAAGATTTTGGGATCTGTACTCCTAGTCACTGTCATGTAGAAGTGCTGTTTATTGCTTTCTCTTTTTCTCACTATCTTACAGCAGATGAAGTTTGGGGATTTTGAAAAGCAACTGGCAATTGCTCAGTCTCACTTTCAGTTCTGCAGGCTTGCATCAGCTCCTGGCTTCTCAACTCCTCTGACTTGTTGATAGTACCCTAACAAAGATCACCGCTGCCATGGTCACCTGGCATGTGGACAGGTGGCTACTTCTACATAAAAGTTTGGCTTCCATTTGGACTTTATGTGCCATTGATGATAAAGTTTTTGCTCCCATTAGATGTTCACTTGGAGAAAAAAAAAAATATCAAATTAAAGAACCTCTTAGGCTTCTGGTTATGGTTTGTATTTTAGAACCATAATGAGAATGAAGTGTATAGGACAACCTGACATTTCCCCATCTGGTCCCACTTTTTGATAAGCATGCCCTGCCCATAATCCCAACCACTTGAAAAGCCAGTGGAGCAAAAGGAAACTTGTGCTAGAACATATTGGCCTTTCAGCAGGGTCCTGGCAATACAGTTACCTCCTGGAGAAATGTTTGGAAGAAATAAGGAAGATGGAAGAGGCTAAGAAGAGAAACTGAGGGCCCTCTTGGGCAATAAAGACTAAAGGGCCAACCCTTAAAATGGGTCAGCAAACGACAGTCAGTCCTCAAGCCAAATCTGGCCTCTAAATAAAGTTTTATTGGAACACAGCCACTCCCATCCATTTACATTGCCTACAGGGGCTTTTGCACTCTAACGGTGGAGTTGAATAGTTGTGACAGAAATATGGCCTCCAAAGCTCATGACATTTACTAACTGGCTCTCTAGAGAAAAGAAATTTGCCAATACCTGTTTTAAAACAAAAAGAACTTCCTTGAACTTTAGAAAGTGCTTAGGCAAGAGAATTCAGTTAATCTGTAGCAAATGCCAGAAGACATTTGAGGGCAGGGGAGAGAATCTAAGAGGCCTAAAGAGTTAGTGTTCTGCATTTCTTTTTTTTTTTTTTTAGGATAAAGAGCAATGGTGGGTGTTGAGTTTTTCTGCAGTATCCTTTTCATATTACTGAACAATTAAACAGAAATATGGCCTCCAAAGCTCATGACATTTACTAACTGGCTCTCTAGAGAAAAGAAATTTGCCAATACCTGTTTTAAAACAAAAAGAACTTCCTTGAACTTTAGAAAGTGCTTAGGCAAGAGAATTCAGTTAATCTGTAGCAAATGCCAGAAGACATTTGAGGGCAGGGGAGAGAATCTAAGAGGCCTAAAGAGTTAGTGTTCTGCATTTCTTTTTTTTTTTTTTAGGATAAAGAGCAATGGTGGGTGTTGAGTTTTTCTGCAGTATCCTTTTCATATTACTGAACAATTAAATGTTATACTGTTTCACGCCTACAGAGTCTAGGCAGCTTTGCACTTACGTATGGGCAGTGAGAGCTATGACCGTCCCATCAGGACACCTAAGTAACTCCTTAGGTAGTTCTTAGTGTAGTAAGTAAGGAGCAGCTAGCCTTTTCTTCCCTAAAGAATAGCTGAGTGTCGGGGTGACCCTTACACACCAATGGGCAGAGGCCATTACTGTACCTGTTAGCCAAAAGCTGGGACCTGGTTCCCGAGGGCGAGGTCAGGTAGATGGCTAGGTCTCCCCTCCTGGGGTGGGTGATGGTTATGCGCACAACTACATGTTCCAAGTAGTTGACGTGGTGGTTGGGGTTATCGGAGCAGCCCGAAGCTTTGTAGATGGAGCGCACTGCACTGTTGGGGCGAATTGTCCTGCAACAAAGACAAGGAATTTGAGCAAAGTACGTGGCAGAGCTCAGTGGAGTGATCCTGCAGGCCTAGAAAGAGATTACATGATGTAACGCAAGCAGCTGGTTGCTGGATACTAAAGGACACAGTGCTATCACCCCAAAGACTGGGTCATTTAAAGGATTAACACCAGTTAGATAGCAAGAAAGATGCCAAGTGAGAGGAAAGGGGGAATTTTAAGGTTCTATTATCTTTGTGCGGGACATTGAACTTGAGAATCTCACCTTGTTAAAAACAGATTGCTGGCTCCCAGCCCCAGAAGGTCTGATTCAGTAAGGCTGGGGCGGATCCCAAGAATAAGCACTTCTCAGGTGACAGTGATGTTGTTGATTTATGGCATACACTTTGAGAGCCACTAACATAGGCTACTGTGATATAGTGAAAACTGGGGATTAGCACGTCCTTGGGATCTGACCCTAGGCTACCATTTCCTTGCTCTATAACCCATGGGCACACTCTTCCTCTTGCCTACAGTTTCTTGTCTTCTTCAGGAGCTTCCTCCTGTTCCACTGTCTCCCTTGAACACTGACTGGGCTTCAGCCACACTGGCATCAGTTCAAATTCTGGGATAATTTAAGTGTCCCATCTCAGGGCCTTTGTATACCCTACTCTGGCCAAAGTGCTTTTATTTATTTATTTTTCTTTCTGCTCTTCATATGGCTTTTTCTCTTCCTTCATGGTCAAAGCTTAAATTTCACTATCTGAGACCGTTATTGAACCATAAGAAAAAATATGCTTCCTAACTTTTTTTATTTCCAACATTCACTTATAATTTATAATTATCTACTTATTATATTTTTTGGCTTGACTCCCATTAGACTGAAAACTCCGCAAGGGTAGGAAGCATTTCTTATTCTCCTGTCTCTCCTTAAAATCTAGATCAGTGCTTGATATCCAGTAATTGCAAGAAAAATAACTGCCAAATTGGTAAATGAATTTGTAAATGAATAAAAATATATTCCATCTAATCGCATTTCCTCATTTGTCAAATGGCAATAATACTCAAGTTTTTATAAAGTTTTAATAAGAAAACACATATGAAGTTTCTAGCACTTAGCCCATAATATGTGCTGCATAAATACTGGTTAACTTTTCACTCTTTTATCTTTTTGTTATTCTTTGCTACAAAGAAGCAGAATAGGAAAAATAAAACTTTAGTCCATTTATTTCTGCTTCCTAACAACTTTTTTCAAGAATTATAATGGCTCCAGTTTCATTACAACCAAAGTTTCTAAATATTTCTCCGAGAGCCAACTCTATAAAGAAAGCCAAAAGCAAAATATGAATAAAGTCATGAAGCGGAATCCTACTCTTTGGATTCAGCACCTAGGAGAGACTTCACACTATCGCATGGTAAATCCTGCCAGCACAGCCTCCAAGTTTGTGCAGCTGAAATACGGGAATAGGCCCCGAAATCTCTGAATAAACCACCGTCTCGTTTACTGTGCATTTTCCACCACTCTTTGGAGAATTACACGCTATGTAGTTAAGTTTCCACAACTTAAGGTTTAGTTTTTTGGTCACATTGACTTATGGAGAATAAGTGGATCATCAAATAAAAGTATTGACAGAGTAGAAACCTAAAGAATGCTTATCTTTAAGGGTCACCCCACAGGACCCTTTTAGAGATGCTTTAAAGAATCCTTGGGTTCTACTCATGGGGATGTAACAGCTTAGCCTCCTAGACATTCTATTAGAGTTTTATAATTACATGAGAAAAAACTACACAAGGTTTAAGCTTCCATGCGTAACAAAGGGTGATCTTGAGCACTTGCACTGTCCTGCTCTCTTTCAAGGCATTGTCATACTGTCTGCTTGCAGCACACATTACTTGATTTGTCGGTCTGTGCTCTCCACACACACATGCTGCTGGGGAACAGTGGTCCATTTCTCCGCCTCCATCACCATGGCTTCTGCATCCATCAGTCCAAATCCATAGAGATGGCTCACTATGGAAGGTAAGAGGTTGGTCAGCTTTGCTGTAGTTAGGAGCAACCTACATTATATATGCTGAGTTATAATTTCACTCAGCAGAACCCAGACACATCCCTATGGGATCCTGGCTTTCTTTCTATCAAGGATTTAAAAACAAATAAAACAAAATAGGTAAACGATCACAAAAAATAAGATGAATGTATATTACTCATTGATTATATATCATTACTAGTAACATGACTGTCATTTATGAATTGTTACTACGTGGTATTTAATCCTCCCAACAATCTTAAGATGTTAGTGCTATTATTATCATCATTCATGGATGAGAAAAATGAGGAACAGAGAAACTTGGTTGGGGCTGACTAGCAATTCAGTGGTTGGGCTGGATTCTAACCCACATAGCTTGTTCAAAGGCTTCACTGTTAACCACTTGTATTCAAGTGATGATATCATTGATTTTGTAAGATAAAATAATTAATAGGTTTAAAGAGAAGTGACAATGTATACGACTTCTCCTAGTGCAATAAGAACTTACATGCAAGAAATACCAATTTTCTGACATGTCTAGTCTTTAGGTTGAATATCCCAGAAGAAATAATTACCTCTCCTTTAGCATATGAAAAATTTATTAAATTTTATGCATGAAATATTTGGAGGCCTCTAGATTTGTATGCCAGCTTCGTATCTTCGCATGTAATCTTTTAGTTCTCAGTGAGAATACCTATTTATCTAAAGCTGAATTTGACATAACTATCTCAGAAATTTCAATTATATATAAGAATATTTTAGTGATGATATAGCATGATCAGCATGTGCAGTCCTTTCTAAAAATACTTTAAAAAATCTCGGTTGAGTACTTTAAATCTTTACCTTGCTTAAACTGTCTCATATCCTTTATATTTAGTACAAAATCATACTTTTACCAGATTTGCTGCCTAAAACATTTTCCTTATAACATTAATTACTTTATGCAAAAATTTCTATAGCTGCCCAGGCTTATGGGTTATTTAAATACTTCAGCTTGAAATTCAAGATGTTCTATGATACAGTACCATACTACTTTCAAAATAACCTATTCACCAAACTTTTTGCTTTAGAAAAGTCATTCCTTTTCTAAAGATGAGACACTCCCAGTCACATCTTGCTCTTTCTGTCTGCCTTTGCTCATGCTGAGCCCTTGGCCTGGAAGTCCCCCATGCTTCCTCTCTGCAGAGTCAAACTCTAACAAGTTCCTGAAGGTCTAGCTATTTGACCTCCTCCTCCCTGAAACATTTCTGGCCAATAAAAATCAATAGATATTTACTGAAATTCAACTATCTGTGACGAGTGAACTTTTCTTCTTTATAGTCTTACGACGCTAATTAACTTGTCAATCCATGTGCCCTCCTGCTCATCCGTCTTCCCAATCGTCTATCTACCCATCCACTCATCCATCCATCCAGCCAGATATCTAGCCAGCCAGCAATCCTGTTACCCGTTCGTCCATCTGTCCATCCGTCTGTCCGTCCATCAGTCCATCCAGGCACTGTATTAAGCACTGTACTTTTTATCTGTGCCATCAACTGAATTTCTAATTAACTGTTAGCATCTGTCTTTTTACCTCAACTGTATTATAAACTGTTTAATTACAGGAACATGACCTTATATTTCTTTAAATGTTCCATGGGATTTAGCAGAATGTTATACATGGCAGAGGAAAAAGATATTACAACATATAAAAAAGGAAAATTATTCTAGGATTCAGAAATATTGCTCTATTTCTGCTATTTGCTAATTATATAATTCTTGAAAAACAAGTTAAAATATCTTACCCACAATTTCCTCATTTTGGGATATTATCCATCCCGTTACCATTACTAAATTATTATTATATGTCCCGTTTGAGAAAATCTGTGTAAAGAATTATATAAATAGTAGGACTCATTATTATACTATCAGGTACTCAGCCAGTCAGAACATACTGAATAAAATTGAATAAAATTACTTTACTATGGCAAGGATATCTGTAGTATTTTTATATGTGCACTTTTGTAACTTTTAGTATAAATGACTTATTTTATTGATTAAAAATTAATGCACATTCATTGTAAAAACTTGTAAATACATCCAGAAAAGAAGAAAGAAAATAAAACTCACCAATAATCTCATCACAATTTAGTAACTGCCATTAACAATTCTGTATATTCAGTACTAGTCACGTAATACTATAGGAAGCAATTTTACCCCCTTAGTTACAAAAGAGACAGAGTGGCCCAGATAATACAAGAGAAATGTCAAGTTTGGGCTCAAGGAAACCCAATCATGGAGATTTTTTGTTAAAGTTCACGTAAATCTTATGTTCTCACTTATCACTTAACCATAGTCTATATCATTCCATTGTGAACAGTCTCAGGTATTTTCCTTCTCTGGGGGAAATGAAATTGCTCCCAAAGATGCTATGCCAGGCTCTCTAACACTGCATAGAACCCAAATAACCCCATGCTAGTGTCATGTGGTTTTAAACCAGCACGACTTATCATTTTACCTGTTTAGGGGAAAGAGATGAAATATTTGGCTGGTACGTGTAGGAGTGAGAAAGAGGGGAGGTGGAGGCTGGGGAGGGCAAGGGCTTTGAATGGTCTGCAGAACAGGCTGCCTGGGCTCCAATGAGCTGTACTGGCTCCTGCGACGCCCACTCCTATCGGCAATAGCTGTCAACCTAACAACCATTAGGACATAAATTAACACACAGAGTCATCAAACACAACAAACACTTCGTGCCTGTTAAGCCCGAGTTAAGTAGAAAAGCATCTTGAGTCTTTACGAAGGCTATAAATTTGTTTCCTTTTCTGATTCAATTCCTACCCTCCAGAGACGATGTCCATTCGTGCAACACTCAAACTAGATGTTCAGAAAAGGGGCTCACGAGCTCCACTTAAACTACAGGCTGGCAAGTCAACAGAAAAAAAAGTATGTTAATAGAATATTAATGAATGAAGGAATTGGATTAGATCAATACTGAGTCAGTAATGGAGATTTTTAGTATTTTAAATACTAGAAATTATATATCTGTCCACAATCATGAAACACAGCCTAAGAAAAAAAAATGCAATAAATTTATTTCCTTTTTTGGAGGTGGGGAGTGGTTGCTAGCAATATATCAACTACATGTATTTTGATTGGTACTTATTTGTTTGTTTTTTGGTAAATACTGATGAGAAAATAATTACACAATTATGTTGGGCAGATAAACTTCAAAATATAGTGTCAACAGGGGAAATATAATTTGGAAACAATAATTTTTGAGATATAATTGTAATTGACATATTAATTTTAAAAATATAAAGTTTTCAGATTCTAGAATGACCTATAAATTCAGAAACACTGATCTTTCTTTTGGTGGCCATTTGAGTCAAGTCTGTCTTGCCCATCACACTGTTACCATGACAGGCCACAGGGTGTATGATCTCTCCAGTGGCCTCAGCAGATCTGTGAATGAATACACCTTAGAGGAGAAATTTTATTTAATTCGCCAAGTGGCATACAGTGTTTACAAGAGAATTGTAAGGGGAATTAGGAGGTCTGTTCTTTTTATTACTGACTCCTATAAAGTCATCATTAACACTCAAAATTTATCCAAGTATAGAGCCCACATTCACATTTAAAACATTTCTGATTGTAGCACATATACCATGCAAATAACCGGTTGTGATATGGCCATTCCATAACTAAAGTAGTTTTATTTATGCACATTTCTCATGCCAAGCTGAGAGCAAAACCCGAGCCTGAAAATCACTTTTATCCTCTTTGAGTAGAACCCTCTCTGTGTAAGCGCTGTGTAAAATGCAAAATTCTATGACATTAGTGTACAACATTCGTGTGAGCAGGCATACAACCAGTTCAAACAGAATTTTCCATTCCTATGAGTGGGGGCAGTAAACAGGCAGGTTGTAGTTTTCACATTAGTTAAGATTTGAAAATCAATATTCAGAAAGATAGAGGGAACAATGCATACATAGAGTAGTGAATGATCTCAAAACAAAATTATTAAAGTATATTTCAGAAAGTAAATGTATTTCTTGGTAGCATGATGTTGAATAAGCTTAATAAAGAAAATTTGAAAAATTTGCATAACATTGTATGTATCCCATCAGGCTGCACGACTGTCTATGTGGGTAAGCTCAGAAAACTGAAATTGTATTACGCCAGAAGTAGAGCTAGTTTTTATTCAAAGCTATCTAAAGGCTTCCCTGCTTGGACTAGTCAGATGGACAACAAAAGGCAGGAAAATAGATGATGTTCTCCAGCAGGTGTATTTTCATTTTCTGATGAGATCAAAAGTGCTGAGAAGCTAATCACTAAGCACACAAGTAAATGACTGCATAGTTTGAAAGCAGATACAGTTAATTTAAATAACAGTTCTAACTAAACTCAATTGAGGCCTGAGCACAGGAAGCAATTAACCAGGGAAACAGTATACTTTTATCTCTTTTAGTGGACTATCCTTACTGGAGCCAGCTACTTTAAATCTTTCTTTTCTTTTTTAATATTATACTGAATGGACATTTCATGATGACCCTAAAATGACTATCAGTAAAGCATTTTATATATAATAAAGGAATTGGTTAAAAAAGAACTTTTTAAAAGGTTTTTGAGCTTCGTGAAGTAAGCCTTTCTGCTGCCAGCTGTCAGATGTACAGACAATGTTATGCAGCATCCAAAGTAAAATAAGGCAAGCAAACAACAACAAAAACTCTGTATAAGAAATCAGTAAAATCATTAAAAAAGGCAACGAATGGGAAAGAACCCAAAAGAGGCTGGTATACAAAAAGTACTCAGTAAATGTTAGTTGACATTAGGAGTCAGGTAGGAGGACCCAAGAGGGAAAAGTGATATTCGCTTTGCGCTTTGGTGCAAGTACGGACTTTGGTGATGTGAAGATGGTTGGGGGTTCATTCCAGGGGCCAGGATGGAGCCTCCTGGTTAAATAATCAGGTCTGCCTGTAGTTCATTGGGGCAGCAAGGAAACCAG